CTACCGTGTTTCCCCGAAAATAAGACAGTGTCTTATATTAATTTTTGCTCTGAAAAATGCGCTAGGTCTTATTTTCAGGGAATGTCTTATTTTTTCCAGGAAGAAGAATTCACATTTATTATTGAACAAAAAAATTCCCAAGTCGAACTTAGACGAGAGTGACGTATATCCGGTGTTAAAAAGTTAAAAAATTTTTTTTTGAAATCTTAAGTGTTTTAAAGATGCAAATTATATCTGTTTGTTAAATACTAATATTTTTAGATGTAATTTGTGTAATTACATCTAAAAGTATAATTACCTTTAAACTGTACAAGGAATAGTTATATTTTATTATTTTAATTTCATCAATAGTATATATTTTAGATATCTGTGAAATAAGTAGCAGTATTAAATATTATTGTTTGTTTGAAATTTTTATTGATAGAGTTTGAATTTAATGACTTTATATTGTTGCAGTATCAAACTGTTATTTTACATTTAATCTTTTTTAATTAAAAAAATGAACATTATATTTAGATAATTTTTATTAGTTATAATAGAAAATTTTTCTTAAAAACTGAATATAAATTGTTAAATCAGATTTTCAAAAATATTAAAAGTTATCTCTTTGGCATAAGATTTAATTATATAAAAAAAGTTTAAAAATTTGTATTTTATTTTTCTATTAATAGATTTATTTTGGTATAAAGATTCAAGTTTATCATCATCAGAAGTTTACTTATACCAATAATAGACAGACACACACACACTAAAATACATTGATCTGTCCAAGGTTCACTTTCTATCCATTTTTACTTGTTTGAAGTAAAGTTGTGTCTTAGGACTGAGTAAGGGATATGGTGCATCAATTTTGAGTTTTACTGTATTGCTTAGTAATCATATCAGTTCATATAGTCTTTGTAAGTAATGAGAATTTAAATTCCTTTTTAATCTTTAAAATGCCTTTAAGATTACATTATTATGCAACATTAAAATGAATAGTTATTGTATATGTGGAAAGCTTTGAAATAGAGCTGCCAAGCATTGTCCATTTCATGGCATTTATAAACTAGATAGAATTGATTATTTAAAAAGTTTACACTTTATAAAAACCAATTTAAAATGCAATTTCAAAGTCGTGGTGCATCTTAGAATTGAGAAAATAAGGTTTATCTATATGATAAAGCTATTATACTTGGTTTCACTGAATGACTGACTCACTCTTTCATTCACTGATATGAAATCGTTGAATAGAAGCAGTCTTCTTATAAGAAAACAGAAGTGTATTTGAAAGGGAATGTTGAGTATATCATCAGAAAATCTGAAATCTTAAAAAAGACAGATATTTTTGAACTTTTCTATTCATGAAATTTTCAGTAATGAAATTGTATAGTAATGAATACAGTAATGAAATTGAATGTTTAATTACATTACTGTATTTGATTGATAAATTTTTAAAAACNTCATTTTTTATCCTAAACTTTTAAAGGACATGTTGATAAGATTATTAAATCTCTAACTATTCATTGTGGAATTCTTTGGCATTTTTGCAAAACTTTCCTCAAAAACAGTCTTACGATCCATTTATTTTGCCAATATTCAGTCACTATTCAATTATTGTCTGTCAATATGGGCTATGGCTGTCTCTTCCTATTTACAAAAAGTATTTCTTATTTTAAATAAGCTCTCTAATCTTACTTTTATCCCTAATGCTAAAGTTGCTAGGTCCAGATTTGGAATTCCCAGTTTTACCAAATGTATCAAATACTTTGACCATTTACTTTTATACAAAATTCTTGTATGGTTCCATTTGTTCTGATTGGCTGTGCCTAAGAGTTCTGTCATGAGTTACCCATAGCCAAACTTTTTTTTTCCCCATCTTTTAGGCTTTCTGTTTCCTTCAGATCATTTTTCTGTTGGTCTGTTCAAAATATGGACTATGTGGAACAATATCTACATGAAGATTTTCTACATTTTAAACACATTTGTAATTGGTTACTTTATATATTATAATCTTTTGTTTTTATTTATGTATATTTTTTCATGTATATTGATTTTTATTCTTTATTTGTATTTAATATTTTATTACAGGCATTATTTTTGGGGAGGATATCAATCCTCTTGTAATGTTTCCTTTTGTATATGTGATAAAAAAGGATTATATAGATTATATAATGTCATTCCAAAGTATATATATACAGTGGAACCTCTAAATTCGTAATATTTGATATTTGTCACATTTTGATGACTTTTCCCCCCCCATATTTGTCAGTATTTTCTGTATTCATCATTATTCCCAACACTGATAGTGATGCTACAATCGCATGCATGTGCTGATCAGCTAGCCGTGTTAGCTTAGTGTTGCCAATTTAGCTAATTTTTTGTTAGATTTAGTGGATTTATGAACAATCTAGCTATGCAAATTACCTAAATTATAATGGGCTAGCTATTTTTATAATGCTATCTAGATATAAAAAATCAAACAATTTTAATGAAAACAATATGATTTGAATATATTTATTAAAATGTCTAGCTATAAATTTGAATATTGAATTGGCAACACTATGTCAGCTAGCTGTAGTTAATCAGTCTGCTTTGTGCAGTCGTCGTGTGTGTTCTTGGTTTCTTGTGTTGATTATTTTCAAAATCTCAAGTTCCAATGGCTCCAACAAAGTGCACTGAAGAAAAACAGAAAAAGAACAGCTGTTAGAACAATAGAGATAAAAAAAAATTATTGCTAAGTCTGAAAATGGACAATGTAGAGAGGTTGCGGAAGTTTTAATTTCTAAAATGTGAACATCGAACGTTGAGTGATGCCATCTTGTAAGCCTAGAAGTTTGATAATGGCATTTGGAATGTCAAATATTATTCCAATGATGTTCCAAATTCTATTATCAAACTTCTATGCTTACAAGATGGCGGCGCTCAATGTTCGATATTCATGTTTTAAAGATGAAAACTTTGGCCGCAACCTCTCTAGTGTTTCCAACTTAGCCAAAGAATTTAATATGCCGAGATCATAATTGATCTCTGATGGAATTACCTAATGTTTTAATTGATGGTATGTCTTCTTCTAAACAATAATAACCTTACTCTTCTTCCCCTTCTACCACTATACTGTATTTAGTAAAATAAAGATAAAGTTTTTCAAACAAAATTTTTATTCTTATATCTTTTTTAGGATGGGAATGGATTAATTGAATATCAGTTATTTATTATGAGAAAAATTGTTTCTATATTTGTCATTTTCCATATTCGTTGATCCTTAAGAACATATAATGACGAATATAGAGGTTCCACTTTATATATTTAAAATAATATTTTGTAAATTAACTAAATGTAATTAATTTATATTCCAGATTAAATAATTTTTAATTTTATTAAACTATCTTTATTAATAGTATTTTCTGTGTATAGCTTAATTCCATATATTTTTTGTTTCCAGAAAAAGAAGATGGTAATTAGAAATAAATAATTTTTGTACAGTAGCTTCTGCTTTTCAAGTAATGTATTTAATATTTTATGTATTATAATTAAAAGAAATTGTGTTAAAAATTGGAATGAAACATAATGCAAAATCAGTATTTATTTTCTTTTATCTTAGTTTTCATTTATAGATGAATATAATGAAAATGTAAATATCATTATCTTTGCTTATAAATAAGATCATCTTTATGAAAAGGTTGTGGATAACTTTGATATGTTATACATAAATACATACGTACATACATACAGACTTCAGAAAAATTTCCAATTAATAAATGCTATGAATTTTTTCAGGTCACTCAAACTAGTTCATTGCCATACATCTGTTTTCACAACTTCAAAATTTCAGTTGTAGATTTGCCTTACTTTTTAAAATCACTTTTGTATATGTTTAAAAAATCTAAATATAAAAATATGACACCAATGAAAACTTTATTAAATAAAGATTTATTTAATTTTTAAAAACAAATTATTAAAATAGTTCTAATTTTATATTGGATATGATATTTAGTTTTTTAATAAAGTTTATGTAAGATCCAATGAAAATTTAACTAATGGTTGATTTTCTTTTCTTGGATTTTCTATATAAATAGACCAAGTGTGATTGTTGATATCAAATACACCTAAAAATATTATAAATTGAGTTTGAGAAGAATTGAAAGTTAAAATAACGTTTTTATATAAACTAAAATATTTAAGAATTATTATCCTGTGAAACTTACCCACTGCTAAAGTTTTAATGATATCTTTTTCTCCATAATTTCCTGAACGAAAAAACTTGTATTCAGGATCTGACTCATCACTTAGTATATTAATCAAATTTTTTATATTTGTTGGATTTGGAAGTTCACAAAATTTAGCTTCTCTTCTCACTGAACTTAAATCAGCTTTTTCTTCTATTTTAATTCTTTGATATCTAACATTTACATGAGGAAAAAATGAAACAATTAACTTTTATATAATAAAAGTAAATAAACTAAATTTTTCTTAAATTTTCAATTGCACAATTAAAATTATACTTATTTTAAATAATTATTTGCAAGTAAAGTGTGATTTTTATATACTATAAAATTGATTNTATTCCAATGATGTTCCAAATTCTATTATCAAACTTCTATGCTTACAAGATGGCGGCGCTCAATGTTCGATATTCATGTTTTAAAGATGAAAACTTTGGCCGCAACCTCTCTAGTGTTTCCAACTTAGCCAAAGAATTTAATATGCCGAGATCATAATTGATCTCTGATGGAATTACCTAATGTTTTAATTGATGGTATGTCTTCTTCTAAACAATAATAACCTTACTCTTCTTCCCCTTCTACCACTATACTGTATTTAGTAAAATAAAGATAAAGTTTTTCAAACAAAATTTTTATTCTTATATCTTTTTTAGGATGGGAATGGATTAATTGAATATCAGTTATTTATTATGAGAAAAATTGTTTCTATATTTGTCATTTTCCATATTCGTTGATCCTTAAGAACATATAATGACGAATATAGAGGTTCCACTTTATATATTTAAAATAATATTTTGTAAATTAACTAAATGTAATTAATTTATATTCCAGATTAAATAATTTTTAATTTTATTAAACTATCTTTATTAATAGTATTTTCTGTGTATAGCTTAATTCCATATATTTTTTGTTTCCAGAAAAAGAAGATGGTAATTAGAAATAAATAATTTTTGTACAGTAGCTTCTGCTTTTCAAGTAATGTATTTAATATTTTATGTATTATAATTAAAAGAAATTGTGTTAAAAATTGGAATGAAACATAATGCAAAATCAGTATTTATTTTCTTTTATCTTAGTTTTCATTTATAGATGAATATAATGAAAATGTAAATATCATTATCTTTGCTTATAAATAAGATCATCTTTATGAAAAGGTTGTGGATAACTTTGATATGTTATACATAAATACATACGTACATACATACAGACTTCAGAAAAATTTCCAATTAATAAATGCTATGAATTTTTTCAGGTCACTCAAACTAGTTCATTGCCATACATCTGTTTTCACAACTTCAAAATTTCAGTTGAGTGGATATTCTATATTATTAAGGCAAGTGTTTAAATTTCAAGTTTCAATTAAAAATTTTTAAATGTAAAAGGGAATCATTGATTTAAAAATTCCAATTTATTTTTTCATTTATAAATTATTGATTTTCTATATTGGACAAATAACTGTTTTACATCATTTTTGTTTGTTGGAATGTCTTTTATCTAAATCTGAATTTACTTTACAATTAATTGTGGCCATAAAAGTGAAAAAACCAAACCATACTATAAGTTACATTTAGCATAGTTTCCAATAGTACATGTAAACAAAAGTTTGTTGAACAAATAATGCTATTATATGTACAGAAAGCATTTATATTAATAAATATTAAGAAAACAAAAAATAAACAGTAAATTTTTATTAGTGCATAATAATTTCTGTCCCAAGAAAGTTTTGATTATTGGCTNTTATTTTGAAAAATGACATAACATTTTAAATTTCTATTACAAGATTTAATTATTTTTTGTTATTGCATTTAATTTTATTTTTATTGCTGTAAGATTAATTGCTATTGATTTATTTAGTTATATCATTATATAATAATTTATATAGTAAAAATTTCCATTATATAAAGTTTAAATAATTTTGGTTGTTATAGATGCATGGTAATTTTCAATGAATTCTTATATAAATTGAAAATGTTGGGAAGAAAAATTCTACCTATTTGTTAAGCAATAACAATAAAACTTCCTGCAATATTTTTAATATTTTCAAAGCTACCAATAATTGTTTAGATATCATGAGAATTTTATTTTTTGAATTTACAGTGTCACTAATAAATGCAAATATTAATTTTGTATGTAAAATTCAATTTGATAGACGTATATATTATTTTTTTTTAAAGTAAAATGTATATATATATTTATTCCATCTTTCCATTTTATTACATATAAAAAAGAAAATCAAAATTTTAATAAAATAAAAATTCTGTGATCATAACAGTGAAATCTATTTCTTTCAGATCAATATTACAAAAGTTTGCTATTCTAATACATTTTTTTACAACTAAAGAATAAAACATTGAAAACAATATATTTAGTATATTTAGAAATTTTACATTTTTATTAGTCAAGTGTATTCCATAGAATTAAATTTAATCTTGTTTTAAAAAAGTTTAAAAATTCCAGGACAATATATTTGATATTACAAAAATGAAGATTAAGAAAATTTGGTTATGTGTAGGCAAAGAAGAGACTATAAAGAAAGGTTGATTGATTTTACTACCATTGATTGTGTTTTAACAGTTGGGATGGATGGAATAACTTTAAAATGTTTTTTGTATTAGTCTTCATTTTTTTAATGTTTTTTGTTTTTCATTTAAGAATATCAACAGGTTCCTATACAGAACTAAACAAATAATGATCCCTAAAGGAGTCAGGTAACTTAACATGCACATTTTGGAAACTATGTTCATGCAATCTCTTTTATACTTGAGACATCTGATCCACTATCTCACCAATAAGGTATGATTTATGACTACTTCATATGCCTGCTCTGAAGTTCTCAGGTGCTTCAAAATTCTGTTAAGTAACTTTCTGAAGTTTTACATTCACATCTTATACTATGGATCTTTCTATTTTGAGAATTGTCAAATTCACAAATTTGGAGGATCCAAAATAAAGACAGTTGGTAATAATAATAATGATCAGAGCTAGGGTAGGACTAATAATTATTTCTACTCTAACTCAGGACTTCTGCCACGTTCTAAATTAAACACACTCAATTTGAATTCTATGAAACATTGTCATGATACTCTATTCAAAAGTTTTTGTTGTGCTCTAAAAAGTAATAATATAACATAAGACTCCAATTATTGAACAGATTTTTTTCATATTTATGTATAATTTTTTTTAAATTTATATTTAATTATTGAAAGAAACAATGAGAGAGAATGAGTTACTTATATAATTGAGTTATTACACAGTGCAATTATATAAGTAACCTATTTTTTAAAATTGAAAATATTTAAATTTTTTGTTAATGAATTAAAAATTTATCACAATGAAAATAAGAATTAGTTTGAGATCAAACCTTTGATAGAAAATGGGACATGTAATGAGGTTTATGAAAAGAGATCTGGAGTAATCCTTACCCATCTGAGGATTGGACATACTTGGCCGACTCGTCAATATTTTTTGAAAGGTGATGACCAGCCAGTATGCCACTATTGCAACTATACTCTAAGTGTAAAACACATATACTGTGCATTTGTTCTGCTTTTGAGAAGAGTCATAGATAGCATTTTGGATATGCAAGTCTGACAGATTTTGGGCTAGAGGCTAGAACTTGATAAGCTACTGGACTTTCTGAAAAGTCACTAATATGTATAAACAGATTTGATTGTTTATTTATTTTTTACTTTTATATATCCAGTTGTTTTGTTTATTTGTACTGTTTCATATGCTTGTTATTGTTTTTTGTTACTAATATTTTATATTATATATATATTTAATTTTGCAATTTCACCATTTGACATGGTGCAGCTTGGCCTATATGGCTCTTGTGCCAAAAAACTCCAACCAACCAACAAAAATTAAATTAAATTTCCATTTAACTAAAAAATATATGAAAATAAAAATATTGAATGGATCTGTTTTTTATGTGAAGTAAATATTTTTACAGTTTTTCTTCTTGGATAGATATGTGATTCATATGATAGTGATATTTATTAAATGAAGAGGTCTATTATCTCATATCTTTATTAATATAGAGTAAATTACATTAAAATTGTATCTAATTCTTCTATTTGTATAGTTGTTATGTGAGAATTGAAAATCTGTGTACTTATGTTGATTATTATTTTAAAATGAATTATATTTCATTTTATTTTATTTACTTATTTATAATGTATATACATAAATTATATGTATACATGTTATTTTTGTTTGTCTATTTATCAAATGTATTTTTGTAAAGTTTTGTTTACATCAAAAATTTGAATGTTAATTATTTTATAATAATTATAAGATTTATAAAATATAATATTTTTGTTTACCTATTACAGTGTAAATTCCAACTGCTTTCAGGGATTTTATAAATACTAGTTTCAGATTCTTGTTTTGTGTAGGAAGGAGCTATCTCAATATTATACATTGAAATATCTTTGGAATTATTAATATACACCAGATTTATCCTGTAAAAATGAATCTAAATATAATACAAGATAAAGCAAATATGATAGTTATATTTAGGTCTTGTAATGTAATAAATACCCAAATCCTTCGCCACATCCTATTCCACATCCTTTTAATAAACTAATTGCTTCTTCTAGATTTTCAGCTCCAAGAAGAGCTCTACAATAAAAGTGGCATGCTATAAAAAAAATTTTATACATTTTTAGAGAATGAACTTTAAGTATAATATTATAGTAATTAGAATGATTTCATATATCAGTTCAAAAAATGAAATGTTGATAGATGAAATTAAACTCAATAAATGAAGTAGTAATACTAAAGACATTAATTTAGTGTTCTAAAGGTATGATGATTATAGGAAGAAAAGCTAATTTGAAATGTTTGCAAATTCTATTCGTAAAGTAGAATTCAATTTCTTTGAAAGGAGAATATCTGCAAAGTAATGATAACTAGTTCATTTTTCATTGAGTTTTTACAAAATGTAGCCTCTTGTTATATTATGCATGCAGGGAGATAAACAAAATACATCAGATAGTGCAAGAAAGTAATGTATTTATCTATTATTGGCTAATATTTTTTACATTCAGAAGACAAAAAGATAATTTAATATATCTAAATTAACAATATAACAAGGAGCTAATGTATTTACAATGATGATAATATCCTTGTTTATTAGCAACAAGAACAGATTTAGTATATTTATATATACTGTAAGTTAACTGTTTATTCAATTGCTATTAAACAGTATTTATCATATTACAGTATAATGGTATAGTTTATAAAAGCTTGAATTTTAGCTGTCATAATACTTATAGAGAGATTATCTAACTTTTTTCATTAAAATTTTCCTTTTCTTAAATAAACTTTGAAATATATTTTTTTAGGGTAAATAAGATTTGATTAATAATTCATTGAATCTCATTTAAAATATCACATGTGACAGACGAATACTTACAAATTCTCCCACTTATAGTAGGCTTAGGCCAAAGTATATTGACACTATGAATTAGTCCATGTTTATTATATCCCATACAATAACCTGGAAGATCTCCAGCATAACAGTATGCTGTAAATTTTTCTTCTGTTTTATTCCATCTCTTTCCAACTTGACTATCAATTATATGTGCATTTACAATATATGTATAATTTTCAGTTTCTGGGAGTGCATCTTCATTATGTCCTAAATAAAACTAAAAAAGACATAGAAAATATAGTTTATGTTAGAGGAAAAAATTATAAATAAAAATAACAGAAATATAAAAAAGTTATATTACATTATTTTTAATGTTCATAAGAATGGAACTACACCCTGTCTTTCCAGATTTAATGATATCTTGTTCATTGTGTGTTATTATTCCATCAATATGAATTAAAAATAACTAAAAAAAAACAAACAAAATTTAATTTTTATTTATATTATTATTTTTTAGCACATTGAAAATTATAATACCTTATAAAATGGAACATCTGCTCCATCTGATAAGCCTCTCAGTTCTTCTATATATTGAGGGAAAACATTTTGTGTACATAATAATGTTTCTTCATATTCCTGCATAGATTAACTTGTTTGTATAAAATTATATATATATATATATATAAACTCGCAGATTAGATAGATAGATATTTACCTGTTTTCCTATTTTGCTTTCATAAATGGGTAATAAAGTATCATTTAGATATGAAAATGTTTTAAGAAAATCTTGTATAATATTTCTAAAATTCCAACCCTAAAATGTTTAAATATTTTAATTAATATATAATTACAAACTTTGATTTTATATTTAAAGTGTATATAGAATACATTAACACACACAATATGTCACAATTTACAAATATAAATATTTACTTATAACTTAGAAAGTAATTTATATCAAAGAAACATTTTATTTAAAATAATATATTCAAAATTTCTTAATAATGTCATATATATATATTTTACAACTTTTTGAAATCTTATGTGGAGAAAGTATAAAAGATGGTTCTGATACCTTGACTCAGCTTTAATAACTATTTGATTTATTAATTATAATATCAAATTCTATTTAAATTTGACATAATAATTAATTAAAATATTTTATAATAATAATTTATTTATATACATAGTGAAAACTCAATTATCCAAACTTGATAGGACTAGGAGTCTTTCAGATAAACAAAATTGTGGATAATCCAGAAATTTGTTTGCTTTTGTGTTCATGCACAATGCTTAACCACTCTGCAGTGATCAACAGATATACCTGTCAAGGGCAATCACATGACACTGGAGAACAACGTTGATTTCCGCAAAAAAAAAAAATTCACATAAAAAGGAATTATGTGACAAAGAAAGATTTTTCTTTACTAGACATAACTGTTTAAAAATTCTTTTCTGAAACGGAAACAAGAAAAACACGTGGGAAAATTCTTAAAAATTTTTCCACGTTTATTCTCCACTACATCGTGATAGCGCCATATCTGACTAACCCTCTCTACAAAGGTTAATGTGCACCAACATTGTGATATGTGATCAATCACTGTGCATTTAAAGTTTAATGAACTACAAATACTGTAATGCAATTATTGTATTTGAAAGTAAATTAATTTACTCAAAATCAAATATAATGACCTAGTTTTGCAGTGCTAAATTGACAGATGACATAGTAATTTCTAGTTACACGGAGAATTTGTTTTCTGTGTATTATACTCTGTGGTATGAATAATGCTATGATACATGTTCTAGGTTTTTTATTTTTTTTTTAAACAAATTTGGATAATCTCGAGTTTTTGATAAGCATGCTTCAGATAATTGAATTTCTACTGTATTTTTAGATTATAAAATTAAATTTTTAACAATGTTTACACATTTTAAAAAATATACACTTAATTTACAATGATATTAGATATTTTGGTCCCCTACTGGGTTATGCTTTTTTACTGTTAAACTCACTGCTATGGTGCACTACTGGAGTTACAGGGTAATGAAATGGATATAAATAAATAAATTTATTGTGTTCAAATGAAAATGGGTAGGATGATGCATTTTTCATAATTTAATAGCATTTCAGGTAGGTAATACTTAGATCCCATTATTCATTGATGATTATCATCATTAATCATACTTATGTTATTAGAAGTTATTCCAGAATATACTGAACATACAATATAGTCAACAACAATAGTTAAAAACAAAATGGAACAAACAACAAACAAAATTCTTGGATAGAACTGATGATTAAGAAATTGGAAGAGTATAATGTTATGTGTAGTGTTGCCAATTAACATTTTTGTTTAAAGTAGATGAATGTAATGTTGTAAATTTCATTCAATGAAAGTAAAATTAAATTAAATTTAAGGCAATTAAATGTAAAAGTAATGAATATGAGACAATGTAATTTTTAAATTTAAATCTTTTATTAGACATGTGGCAATGTTATGTCTGTTTCATCAAAAATGGTATTAGAAGTTGGCTATAGAGTTCTTTCAACTCCATTATTGTAACAGAATTTGAGGACAGCTAAACATCAATTATCTCAATGGTAATTAAACACATTGCTAATCATAACTATCACTATACATGGATATTGCCGGTTATTAGTGTAAGCATGTATTATTTTGTGAGCTAAAAGCCAGAGATGCTATCAAGGGTATCTTGAAATAGGAGAAGAAACATTTTGATTAATGAATTTCTTGTTTTATTAGACATATACTGAAATTTGTTTTACCCTAGTGAAATATATAAAATGTAACAAATGTGAAAATTGCAAATGTATGTTTTGTTTCAATGTACTGGTATTTATCAATACATTGAGACAAAACACCAAAACCATTTACAGCACAAAGAGTTTGTGTAGTAATATGAATTGATAAGTAGTAATTAAAGTACAGTATAGAGCCTAAAATGCAATATATTCACTAGCCATAGATGATGATAACAGCATCAGAATGCTTTATATTACTACACTGTTGAACACCAGTCTTGAAGTAAAAGTCAACATGGTATTGGAAAGAATATGGTCGTTTCTGTAAAAGTCCACTTTTAAACATAGGAAACGTCATCAAGTTACAAAATCTAGGTAAGGAAAATTGATGATAAACAAGAGATTGAATTTTCTAGATTATATTTCTGTGATTCAATTAAATATTGAGTAAGATAGGTCAGAATATTTTGGACAGTTTTTCATATTTAGAAGAAGGACATATCTAAAAGCTATTTTATGCCTGTGGTTTGTTCAGCTTCATTCAGTAAAATGTCCTCTCTTTCTAGAGGACAGGATCATGGGCGGTAGTCCCTTGGATCCCGACGTCCCCATTACTAGCATAGGATGAGAGAACTGACAATGTATAGACAGGATATTATATCATTATACTTTAATAAAAATAATTTGATCAGAAGTTAAAAGTTATCTATAACTTTTAATCAATTAAATAACATAATTTATCAAATTATTTTCTAATATTTTTTCACTAATTATTAATATGGTGATATCTTGAACTATAACTATCTAATTTGAATTGAAATAATGTTTCTTTTTTAAATTAAAAATGATATAAATATATTAATTCTTCATAATGTGATTTTTATATATGACCATTTTAGCATTCGATCTATTACAATAATAAGTATTTCCAATTATTAAATACACAGATAATGAATTTATAAATAGGAATTAAATTTGTAATTCAAATTTTTTTTTTTAAATATATGAGTATCACATACTAAAATTTGTAAAATTAAGTAAAAAGATTTTTCTGTAGCAACAATTCAATATTTATACACAAAAGGGGTGTTTCTAAGTAGCAAATCAGCTAAGTAAATAAACCAAAGATAATTGTTTAATATGAAACAGATTATGCCATTGGTTTATTTACTTAGAAACTTAGAAACATCCAAGATTTAATTCTTACAATCAAAAAAATTAGTTTTATAGAAATGATTTTATTTAACTGCATTACTGATTTTTTTAAAGTAGCAAGTTGAAAGAATCCATTAACTAGAGTAAAACAAAAAAAAAAAAAAACTCTTACATTTTCATTTATCATTACATCTTGTAAATTATTGTTTATATACTTAAAATAGCCATGTTTATAAATTGTTTTTAATGTATTAAATCCAATATATAATAATGATATCGTATGATAAAGATTTATATAAAATCTTTCATTTACAAGAAATAATCGTAATCTATAAACTCAGGAAACGTTTTAGTTAATATGGAATCAACCAGAGGAAGTCAGCTATATCGTGCGAATATTTTTAAATATATAATATGTAATTAAATCTCTTTACATCTAAGTTCCAGTTTCTCTGAAACATTCTTATAAAATATACTATTTCAGATGAAATTATTATTCTGATATAAACAAACATCATATGAGAGCAAACCAGATCTTTCCAATGATATAAATGTATTTTTAACTTACTATTTCATATCCGACCTCGTAATGAGTTCCTCTCACGTATAAAACTGGTAATTTATTCCTTTTCTCGCTCATTTGATTTAACTGCAAAAATTTGCAAAGAATCCAATCACTTCCTCCTAATTCATCAAGAAGTTCCACTGTATCATGTGATTTTTGACCAATAAACACTCATCTGGAAAGTAGATGATTTCTAGTTACAGAACAATCTGTTGATTACACCTACCACGAATACGTTTTGCTTCGTTCAGCATCCATGACTTGTATCTTGCTTTATAGGAAATCGATTTCGATTCTGCTAACGCCGCAGGTTGTCGTAGTTATAAATTACAACATAACACACACACACACACGTATATATTTGCACAGGTATAGAATGCAGTATCCAGATAATTATAGTAGCCTATATCCTGCAAAATATAGGGTTATGCTTGTATTTTTATTGCTATAAGATAATATTATTGAACGTAATATTTATTATACTAAGATCAAAATAAAGTTTGCGCTATTTTACTATTTAAAAGTTAAACCGTTGCCTTTAAAATCATAAAAATAAAAGTAAGTCTTGCAAAAAATTAAATAATAATAATTTAAGAACAGATTAAAACAAAATTTTATTCTGATAAAAGTTAGCATTTCATCAAGTTTTAATACATAATTTAACTCGTAAGTCAGTAAAATATATTAATTTTATTCAGAATAAACGAAAAGTATACAGGAAATAAAGCAGGCTTAATATATTTTTTTATGCTTTATGAATTCATTTTTAATTTTTAAAATATTGTTACTCGATTGCGAAATCAATACAAACAATATGTATCCAGAAGGTCGTACGATATTTTTAAGTCGAGTTTGTTTATTTATAAAATATTTAGTGCTAGAATTTTTATTAATTTATAAAGTTAGTTCATATAATTTTTTTTTAAATTTAATATGCTCAATAACATTTAATTATAACCGGGACCAGTTTAAGTCGAAAATTAAATCTAAGAAAAAGTTTTATGTTCCATTAGTTTAAATTGGGGGCGATAGATTGTGACGTCACCTATACTCTCTTGGAAGAAAGGGGTGACATCTCATTTTCGCACACCTATTTTGTAACAAAATGGCAAATGTATTTTATTATATGAATATGTGAATTTTATTATAACTTTTCGAATCACGGAAAGAACTATTTATATTAATTTTTCGAGCATTTTTTACTGAGAAAGCAGCGATCTGTATTGCATATCTGTAGCAACTCTCAAAATATCTCGTATCTGTGACAGTTTTTAAGGTTCCCACAAAATAGCCAATGCCGTTGCTTTCGACGTGACGTCAGAGGCAATTTTTATGGTCAAGTGCACACATGGTGTAGGGCCCAAAAAAAGGAATGTTGCTGATAACTGTTCAATAGCTTGAAGCATTAACAAATTATAAACTCTAATTAAAACTAATTTACCCACGAAGGAAAGAGTCAAAAAAGGTTGTGATACTTGGCGTAGCAGGAACTTATATGGAACTTATGTTCTACATTTGATGATAACCGCAGTGGCGCGTTATAGCTTCATGGAACCTAGGCAGATTTGAATTAGGGGATCTATGTAGTGCTCAGACATTTTTCTTGGAGGAATTTCCCGAATCCACGTTCGTTTTTAAAGTTCTGTGCTGCGCCTGCACAACACCGGCAATCTAGAGCAGTGTTTCTTAACGGGGCTGCGGTCCCCCTGTTAAGAAACACTGCTCTAGATTTGATAAGAAGTTTGCCGGTGGGCCGCCAAGTTATGCAAAATTTCCTTCAGAATATAATAAAAACAAAACTGATGTATAACCGAATATCGTATTGAAAAGTGAAATAAGAAATATAAAGTTTACGTAGTTTTTTTAATTTATTTATTATCGTTTCGTACATACAAATTTGTTAGTACAGAAGAAATAAATGCAAATATGCTACTTACACCGCAGTATTTACTTCTTTTATTCCAAAGTGATTCTAAGAAATTATTAATGCTTGGAATTTTGATACAAATTCGTGCAAAATATACTCTCTTGTTTTCGGCAGCAATGCAAAATTTGCTGCCTTTCGCTAGTACATATTTTCGAATATTTTTTCGTTTTTTCTATCAATTTTTAAATCTCTCGCGTTAATTTTTAACAAAAAATAAAATGAGTTTTTATATTTAAGTTGTGAAGTTTGAATGTTATTTAAATAGATAATGAAATAATAAAGTTATGTTTTACATTTATTATATAAAAAAATAAAGCAATAATAAAAAAATCAATTTATTATAGATAATTTAACAAATATAAATTATTATTAAAAAAATGTCACAAAAAATTATGAAATATTTGGTGGGCCGCGAGTATAAAAAGGTTAACAACCACTGATCTAGAGTCCCCCGATATAGCACCGAATTTAAATTTTGATATTCTTACTACAGTAATGAGTTTTATAAAAGATTGGCTTGGGGCCCTGTTGGGAGCTCCGAGTAATTGCCATTTTTGCCCGTAGAATAACGTGCCACTGACCAACCAATGTCGCTCTCAGTCGGCCCGATATAGTTTTGCTAATTAAATAAAAGCGTTCCTTTGTAGGGCTAGAACCAGTATTCTTAGTTATCTTAATATTTTTACTAGATGGACTTTCTTCTCTGGCACAAGAAGGCCATTTAATTCAAGCACAAGATGGATTTGGCTCACAACGGGGTGGTTGGGTGATGATGGACAGGGCCTGACATATTCAGGACAGTTTGTTTGTTAAGTTATAGCAACGCAACACTTGGGCGATGCCTTCCGGGAGGTCTTTTAAAGGGAAATTGGCCTCTATTTAGGCGTTACAGACGTGGAGAAAACCCGGAAAACTCCACGTGGCCAGACTGTCCGAGCGAGGGGTACAAAAGACCGTTCGGCCACTGGTGAGCCTTCGGGACAGACGAGTCGAAAAATCTTAGAAATTTTTCGACTCGTGTAGATTTGTTTCCGGGTAGAGTTGCCATATGTCCCGATTTTTCGGGATTTGTCCGATTTGGAACATTTCGTCCCGATAGAGAAAATTTTCTCGGAATTTCCCGATTTGTTCATTTTCATCCGAAAATATTGTATTAAAAACAATCAAATAATAATTGTAGGCCTCTGTTGTTACACTTGATACAAATTACCTGCCCTCCATGCATACATTTTTAGTGATTTGTAGCGCACATATATCTAGCTCTGTTGGTCTCATGTGTGATGACATCAAAATTATCAATGGATGGTTTCAACGATGGATCAATGGTTACCTCTAGCCATAGTCTAGTTTTTTTATTTTATTTTTACTTTTTCCATCTGTTTGAACAAAAAAAAGAAAGCAGTAATTGAAGATTCAATAAAATTAATTTAATTAAAAGTATTCATTATTTTCCAGAATAGGTACTGTATTGCCTAATGCTTGATATCCATCAATTTTACCATCTTGCTACTTCATTTACAATGTCCTGATTTCTGGTTTTGAACCTGAAATATGGTAACCTTATTCTGGAGTCTCAGAGCGGTTATCCGTTTTTCTAGATCGGTCAAATCATTACTTCTCACACTGGAAAAGTTCCGAAAGTCCATTATTACTATTTGCAAAATGCTTGTCCCGAAGCTATATTACTAATTGCAAAATATCAGAAAAGTTCAGATTCAAGTCATTTTATCTGAATATTTGTTCTGTGATAGATGTGAATGTAATTTTGTTATTTTTTTAACCGTTTAAAAAACATTGATTTCATTAATTATCAGTTTTTGTACCATTATAAAACGAATAAGAAATTAATTGCTGATAAATAAAAAACCAGAAATAACAAAGATATATTTTGCAAAATAAATTTTTATTATTTATTTTATAAAAAGAAACACGTATTTCGAAGTGAAGAGGTAGCGATATTTACAAGCACACCAGTATTAGAATTAAGTACGATACACATCTATAATGCACACAGGAACAGTCCATACTTCAGACTTCGATATGAAGAAGAAGTACGACGATATGAAAACCTTTGGTTGAATTACAAGCATAAATACCCGAGTACCTCTGCCAGTGGTACACAACAGCAATTATCGTGGCAAAACTGTAAAGATACAAATAAGTTTATATACGTGTATATATTTCACTATAGGATATAAATATTCTGAAGCGATAATTACCTAGAGGATTATACAGAAGATTAATTTTTAACCATGGAAACCCTTTCCGAATCCGTATCCTCCATAACCACCGTATCCTCCGTAGCCACCGTATCCTCCGTAGCCACCATAACCTCCATAACCATAACCGCCATGGACGGGAACAACAGCTTTGTGGACTACAACGCCACCGGATGGGGCACCGTGGTATGGAGAAGCAATGACAGCAGCAGCGGGCAAGCTGTGAGCAGTGCCGGGTTCGTTGGTCTTGACGGCAGCACGGAAACCATGTCCGTCAGCTACGTAATGGACAACACGTTTTCTGCCATCGACGATACCCAAATTGTAAGATCCTACAACGTGACCCCATCCATCGCCGACTTCTTGGCGTCCGTTGGTGGAACCGTGACCATCGGCAATTTGGTAACCGAAAGCGTAGTTTCCGTGATCCTAAACATCAACAGTGGCAATATTAGTATCAATTTTATTACTAAATTCGCCGATTTTGTTGTGATACTTACATCTTGCTTCCTGGAAGAATGGCTCACTCCACCGTGTCCAGCGAAACCTGCATAGGCGCAAGCGAGGAGAGCACAAAGGATGGTTGCCTGTGAGCATATGAAGTTGTTAATATATCCAATAGTAGATATCAATCGGTAGATTGTATTCAACTTACCTTATACATTATTGCTTATTCTGCTTATTGAGCTGCTAGTAAGCGAGAACTGATGCTGAATGCTTTGTAATTGAAGCTTATATAGTGGTGGAGAGATAGAGAAAAGGTGACATTTGACCTCTGTCCGAATGGTACTTGGTGCCACATTCAGACCCGTGAAATATACCGCCAGAGTGACACACGGTCACAGTATTTGAAGGTCGGATCGGGAAAGAACGTTATGGACGTCCTTCACCTAAATTCTTTCACGTAATTACGTTTGTGACAATGATCTTACTTTTCAATTAAAGCTTCTTAACCTTACTATACAAACTCATTCATTAATTTCAATTACTTTCGCTCTCTTTAACCACTCGACTAGTATTTTCAACCTGGTTAACGGATGACATTGTCAAAAACACTTCATTCAATTGTCTTTAATTTAATTAATTTGTTTCTCGATGAGATTTTTCTCGTTCGTATTGGGTTGTAACTAGTTCGGCGAATCGATATACAAGGTAATTTCGAATTGCTCGAAGTAATAAACTGGAGTAAGGAGTAGATACAGAGTAAAGCAAGGACGTTCTGCATGAGGGATCAATAGCACCATAAACAATCTATTCTATGCCTTATCTATTGTCTGCTATAATTGTGTAGAGAATTTCCTTATATTTAAAAGATTAGATATTTGAATTTAGAAGGCTATAAACGATCAAAGTGCATTTAAGTAGAGATGCATCGCACGAGCTACGGCTTCAATTAATTGGTTTCTAATAATTTAACTGATTTTTCGTAGTTAATAATCGTAATTCATCAATGAGGCTGTGTTATATAATGTTTAATTTCTTAAACGAATGTAATCGTTTAAGAAAACAATCTTCATTAAACGAGCCCTACGATACAGCGCTTCATCATTAATTAACTATCTCCAATTTTAAATGATTATTAATGTTTATTAAGCTTATTTTGTCCTTGTTTATTTAAAAAAATTAATGTCACAAAGATAAAAAAAAATAGTAAAGCTTAGTCACTTTATAAAAACCGGTAAGTTTAGTATCATTTTCTGCTTTTCCATATTGTTCCAATGTCTTAATTGAATAATTATCATTTAAAATAAACTCTGTTTTTATATTTTGAATATTGTTCTTGTATAAATGATAAAAATCAGTTAGAGTTGTTTGAACGAGGTCATTTGCCCTGTTAATTGTAAACTTACTTTAATTACAATTTTTTATAAAGGTAATTAAAAAGATATCAAGCTGATTTCTCATATAAGTGAATTCGAAATGCATTTGAATAAGTCTTACATCATATTTGTTTTTTCTTTGTTTTAAAAATTATAAAGTTATTTTATAATAAAAAGCATAATTGCATTTCTAGGATTTTTATTAGAAATGTTTAAAAATAAATTACTTACTCTGCATTTTTTTTTTTATTTTTAAAAACAAGTTTTTATAGGACTTCTATTTTTTGTTTAATTAAAAGCAGAACAGTTTCAAAATTAGAATATAAAATTTTTTTATAAGTTATTAAATGAATATTAAGCAAATAAATACCGTTAAAAATAGCCTGCAAGCTAAAATGTATAGTATTTGAATGATACGATTAATGTATAAAAATGTACTTTATAGATAATAATATATTTGGGTATTTTTTGTATGACATTGAGGTATAAAAATACTTTTTTGGGAGAAATATCAATAGCTATTAATTATTAATTACACACTTCAATTAAGTTGTGCGGAATAATTGCTAGGAAAAGTCAAGTGCAAACAAATCAGTGAAAAGGATATTTGTCACGACAATAACCTACACTGTTTTTATTATAACAACTAGACTAGAATAACAAATAAAACAATTAATAGCTGCAATCAAACAAGAAATAGAGATACAATGAAATTATTATTCTCTTTTGTATTTTTGGATATATTGTAGTTTAAGCAGTATGAAGCGATTCAAAAGTTATATAAAGAAAGAATGAAACAATAAATAGATTAGTTTAAGTAAAATATGATAATTTTTCATAATTTAATGAAATTTATAAATATAAAAACAAATTTCCTTAATTGTAGCGGAAAACGTAGATCCGTTATTTTAATATACAGGTACAAAGTTTCTAAAGTTAGAATTTTTTAAATGGTCTCCAAGATTCATTTATTGCTATTAAAACAAGAGATTAAGATATGGTAACTGGTGTATCTTTGATTTTCTTTATTATTCAGCTAAATCAATGATTATACAAATAAAATAATAATAGAGGATTTGAATTTTTTTTTTACAATAGAACTTTCATTTTAAGCAAAACAACATTTTTATAAAAGTTTAGGCAATCTACACTAGCATATTTATGTGACAAAATTAAATTTATGTAAATAAATAAGATATTCATTAAAAACTGTATATTTTTTATTTTTTATGATTATGAGTATTTTTATTTTGAAACACACAAATTCAACTTTTGCATTAGCAACTTATTTCAAAAACTTTTACAGTAAAATTTTGAATAGCTTAAAATAAATTTAAAAATAAGTGTTATTAATAATAAACTTATAAATAATATAGATAAATTACTTTAATAAGAATATCTTTCATTTATAAATTTATTAAATGTTAATATTTTTACAAAATAAAATTAATAATAATTTTTTAGGAATAATTCGTGTTTTTAGTCTGTTTTTATAAATATCAAGCTATGTTTCTTTTGTAATATCTCAAACTTGTGAATATCTTTATAAAAATGATCAGAGTAAAAATTTATGTAAGCTGGAAACTGACGTGATAAACTGAAATATTGTTAAATATATTTACTTTTACAATTTGTTGTCGTAGAGATATGGATTTTTATGTTAATGTATGCTCTTTATTATTTTTAAACTCTTCCCACTCTGTGGAACTAAGACCTTTTTAACAAGCCCATTATAGGTTTGGCAGGACACATAAGGGAGCGCACAGTGGGACCAAATCCCAAAAAGCTGGCCAAAAGTCGAAAAATAGAGTTTAAGTTCCGGTAATTTCTAGTCGTGGGTTCGGTTGGATAAGAGTCCTTAGGTCGAATTCTAGACTTTAGCGCCCCCTATCCCTTATACCTGCTATTGTAGTTTAGTCGAAAGGGGACCCTCAATCGAGCTAGACGCGTCATGCAGTAAGCAAAGATTTCTACGCTATATTCAAGAGGATGCCAAATCTCTAAAAATCAATCTAATTTAAATTTAAAAAATGGAATTTGCAGCTGCAAGTGAGTAGAATATCATTATGTAACTCAAAATTGATAATAATACTTTATGTGATAACAGAAAACGAATGATTTGTACGAAAATGAACGGAAGATTACAACAGAAAATTTTAAACATGTAGAGAAAAGTTCATAAATTCTGTAGAGTTCTGCGACTGGACCGATCGCGTGTTGTAGATCGAACTATTATTGAATGAAAAAAATTAAAACTAGTTGCAACTAGCTGCAACTGTGTCATTGGTGCGAGTTCTTGCAATGTAAAACATAGTTTTCTGAATTTTGTACATTAATGACGCGGAATGCTTTGCTCTTTTTCTTGAATTTGTCTGGTGTTTTGAATATTGTTTGCATGTAGCATATAGGCTTGAAATCAAACTGTGGCAAGCGCATAGTGATAAAGAAAATAAAGAAATATGATTCTGAAAAACGAATATACAGAAGGGTTTCCGTATAGAGTTGGGTCTAATAGTCAATCAACCAAAGCCTGGTTTCGGTAGCTCGAATGATGAGAATACCGCTCAACAATTTTTCGAAAACTCAAGCATTTCTGCTGCTATTACAGTGGTTGATGAGGACTTGATTAAGCGTTTCCATGTCATATTGCAGACAATTTCGTGTGGCCATGAAGTCGATTTCATAGAATTTCAAGATTGTGCCTTACAGACAGCTCGTTACTTTGTGCAGTTATCTCCGTGGTTCTGCATGCCAACTTAGGCACATAAGATATTGATTCATGGTGCAGAAGTGATAAATTCATCGGTATTGCCGATAGGGCAGATGTCTGAAGACGCTCAAGAGTCTACTAATAAATACATTAAAAAGTTTCGAGAAGATTTTGCAAGAAAAGTTTCCGAGTGAAAACAGTGGAAGATATTATTTTACGCCTATTATTAATATCCGATCCGTTTATTTCGAGTTTGTGCGAATTACCTCGAAAAAACTCAAAGTACTTGTTTCCAGAAGCAGTTTTATTGTTAGTTGCGCCACTTATACCAGCAAGTAAGGAAGCTCCAGCGTTTTCAAAGTTGAATCATCTGATTGTGAATCAAATTATTCTTTGGATGACGATGCATGAACTTTTAATCAACTGATTGTATGCTTTATCGTATTAAACAATATATGGATTTATTTTGTATTTTTTCTATAAAAGTGGTTCGTGTTAAATCCGTCATTTTGTTTTTATTTCAAATTTTGACTTCGGATTCGTAATCAGCGATCCCAAAAACCCTCTAATACTGACTTTCAGCCAAATTGATAACTCTTTTGACTTTTGGCCAGCTTTTTGGGATTTGGGCCCACTTTGGAGCGGCCAGGTAGAGAGGGATTAGGACCGACAAATCCTGACGGACAGACCATTGAAAAATCTCTGGAGTTTTTCGATCATGTGGATTCGATTCCGGGTCCCCAGAGTGGTAGGTCTCCAGCTTCACCACTTGTCCTCTTGGTCGTCTTATGTTTTGTTTAATCCACTCTATTTAAGTTCACAATATTTATTTAATCAAAGTTTTTTATTATCTGATAAAATGTATTAAAAAAATACAGTGGTGTCTCGTATTTCGAATTCAATTCCTTCCAAGAGGTTGTTCGAACTCCGAATCAATTGTTTCCATTAGAAATAACAGAGTGAATTAATCCATTTCCAGATCCTAAATAATACCCATTTCGAAAAACAACAGCAAATACACATAATTTAAGATAAAAATAACACAATTAAAACACAAAAGCAATAAATAAAACACGTAAATAGCATTAACTAACATAGTCGCACATCGTCAACTGCGGCATCTTAAATATGCCGCCAGATCACATTTATCTCTTTTGTGCTTCGTGATAACTTTATTTTTCATCTCATTCGTCGATATTACAACCTTCCTCTTCGAGTTCGTTGCTTCCACACACTTCTCGGATGCCATGGATAACAAGTAAAGGTTACGTTGGGTTGAACAGAAAGTGTTCCCCCCGAGGTGTCGTTAGTTAACATGGATATGCGATTTAATTATAACATTTGTGAAATTTAACACATTATTACTAATGTGAGATTATATTCTTGTTTAGAAGCTAATTTTAAACTTTTCACTTTAATTTAAAAAGTTCCTTTCGGGAAATTTTTAACTAAAACATGCAAAATATACGAGGCGCCAAAAACTGCGAACTAAGAAAAATTGAAGGAAGAAATTGTTAAAAATTGTGAACAACACATTATATATATATAACCCAACACACCAAAAGTAAAGCAGGAAAAGCACTGAAAACATTCCAGCGTAACAGGAGAGATGACTTGGACTCAACAGTATGCTTCGAATGCATTTTTTCACTGAGTGCGTAGTTCGAACTTAGAATCAAACTTTTGTTAAATTTAGCGTTCGAAGTAAGAGATACCACTTGTATTTATATTTTTGCACCTTGAGAACTATTTATCTTTTCGTGTAACTTTGTTATAAAGCATAATTTGTGAATTCTATCAAGTGTGTTAACCGTTTTAACACTAATTGTAATTTTAAATATTCTGATGATGAGAGATTAATATTAAAATAAATAATTTCTTATGTTTAAGCATAAAATGTTTTATCTTCTGAAATAACAATGGTATTGAAATAAGATAACTAGTATACTTGACATGTTTGTTACAGTAGAATTCACTTAATATAATCACTTTGGGACTTGACTGTTCTGATACCAATATCCATGATTACAATCAGGGCCGGATCATCGCATAGACAAATGAGACAAATGTCTAGGGCCCGGTTTTTAGAAGGGCCCGGTCAAATTGTCTATTTTGAAAAGATTTGTAAATAAGATAGTTTACTTTTCTGTTGGACAACAATATATAATAAACAAACAAACAAAAATATATTGCTTTTTATATGGTTATTGTGAATTCTAAAATCCAAAGAAAATGTACAGTACGCGCGCGCCTCCAGTTTGTTATTGTTTAATCCGCTTGGAGACGTTGTGTCCGCGGAAACCCCCCGAGTAACCTCCTTCAACCCGTTTGTTGATATCTTGTTTCGGTGGTTAGCTACGGCCGTTTATGTGAAGTGGTGTTTGTGGGGTTTGGCGAAAATCAGCTCTTTGAAAGAACATTGTTGTTCTGTGAAATTCTGTGTGAAACTCGGAAAATCCTTCACGGAAACTTTCCACGGGTGGGTGAAACAGCCACCCACCCCAAAACAGCTCGACAAGTTCGCTCAAATGTTAAGGTGATGTTGACCGTTTTTTCGATGCAAAGGGGGTTGTGCATCATGAATACCTACCTACAGGCCAGATAGTCAACACTGAGTACTACCTGGTGTTATGAAACGCCTAAGAGACAAAATCAGACGAAAACGACCCGAACTTTGGAGGAGCGGCGAGTTGATTTTTTCACCACGACAACGCGTCGGCTCATTTGTCCCTCAGAACACGAGTTTTTGGACAAAAACAAGACCGCTGTGCTTCCCCACCCACCTTACTCACCTGACCTGGCCCCATGCGACTTTTTCCTGTTTTCCAACAAACTAAAAAACACGTTCAAAGATTTGTCACCATTCCAGAAATAGAAAAAAAACGACGGAGGAGCTTATGAGCATTCCGGAAAAAGCGTTCCAAGATGTATCAAAAAGTGGAAACACCGTTGAAATAAGTGTATATGTTGCGGAGGAGACTACCTTGAAGGGGACCCTGACAAATATTTTGTGTGTGGTGTTTTTTTTTTTTTGTAATAAATAAAGTTCGGAAACTTTTTGAACAACCCTCCTATTCTTATGTTTCTTCTTATTGAAAGTAAAACTCCCAATAATTTAGAATATTCTTTATAGCGATAAGAATAATATTAACTATATGTATTCTTAAATCCTGTGAAATATTGTTAAATAATTTTGCTTTTATTTTTTATAGCAAAATTATAAGCAGCTGCAGTGTCCGTATGAAATTTAATAGAAATAATAGTAACAAGATTTATTAATTGAAAGAGCCGGGAGGGACCCAGAAGAAGAAAATGTCTAGGGCCCTAAAGTGGGTTAATCCGGCCCTGATTACAATAAACAGATTCTATTGTACCATGTAAATATAGAAATTTATATAAGTATGCAATGTTGTATGTGTACTAAAGCTGTTTGTAGAGTAATAAAAATAATGGAAAAATTTTAAAATTCTTTTGTATTTCTAATAAAAATTCATACAAATTGATTTTCATTAACACACAAACAATAAAATCTAGAAAAATCAATAAATCATTGAGATAAACTTTAAATACAGAAATTTAATAAACAAATTTTATTAACACTGTGATATTTACATAATATACAGATAAAACTTTATACATAATCAATAAATAACAACAATTTTTATATAAAAAAAAAGAAATTTTTGCATTGTTAATTCATATTTTTATGAAATGATGTATACATTGTAACTTCTATGTACATTTTCAAAGATGAATTTTAGATAAAATTTGAAATATAATATTTAGGAAAGTAATTAAAGTAACTAAGGAAACGACTAGAAATCATTTTAAAAAACATCTTTTTTTCATGGGAAACATTTCTTTCTTCCACTTTTAACAAACAATTTAACAAATTTAATTAAGGAAATTATGAAAAAAAATTTGAATTTTTTTACAAATTAATCAATAATAATAATAATAATAAAAATTGATTGTAAAATTCAATTGATTTTTTTTAAAGGACTGTTATTTATTATGGCTCAAAATAATATAGATGATTAATATTATTATATAGTATATAAAGAAAACAATAATTTTGTAAACAACAACGGATACACATCCATAATAATATAATTATTATTAATTAAATCTGTTATTTTCTGAACAATCCTATTTGTCAAATTCTGAACTATTCCATTTTTTAAACTTTTTAAACTTCTAAGTTAAATTAAAAATTTAACAAATTGAAAATAAACAATAATTGAAAATATAAGAATACCTTTCATCCTAAGTATATAAGCCATAACAACCATTGAAAGAAACCTATTATGCTTGACCAAAGCCCTGATTTACTTTCTAGAAGCTTCTGAAGTTCTTTATCTTTTTGTATAAAATGTTCTATAATACTTATCTTTAATTCTGATGACCAGTATTGAACTTTCCCATCATTTAAATTAACTTTACAAACTTCTATCATCTGTAATTAATCATTAATTAATTATTATTTAGCAGTTTAGCATAATTTGATAATACAGTAGAGCAGTGTTTTTCAACCTTTTTGAATACGCGACCCCTTTACAAGTTAAAAAGTTCTGGCGAACCCCCTAAAGCGATATTAAAACTATATCAGTGATTTTAAAAATTATGTATTTAATTTTCTTTCTGTTGAGAGAAATTATTGTTGACTAAAATGAGAATTTAAGAAGGATCGACAATAACTTATGACACGTATGGTATGATACTTCCCTCTCATAGGAACATTGGGTTCGGAGTGCTGTTGACCTTTTTTTTTGGACGACAGTATTTAACTTCCACTTTTCTACTTATTACTTTTTTTACAGGTCAGCTCAGCACTTTTTCGGCTATCATTTTCAGGCCCCTCCCTGGCGAAACCCATCATTCACACCTAAATGTCAATCAAAAAACCAACTGTACTGTATAATAAACAGATACAGCTTTCTCGCCGAAATTCTAGTTTTTTAATATAGTGTAGGACCTACAAACACTTGTCTTTTTCTTTTACCCGCGACCCCCCGGGGGGTCGCGACCCACAGGTTGAAAAAAACTGCCTTATACCAGACGTCATCGTCATATGTCTTGACGTAATAATATAATTATTAAAAACATGTGACACGGTAACAATGCTAGGCTGCAATTTTTAATATATTTAGCTAAAAATAAATGCTCTCCGCCTCGAATTACTAGTGGTTCGCCCCTGCACATCATACTTTGATAATACTNGGGTTGGTCGGATAATTGAAAAGTCGGATAACCGAAAAGTATGAAAAAATCCATTATTAGTGTAGTATATTAGTATATCCCATGTAATTAGTATATTAGTATATCGCTATTAACCAACTTTGCGTTGAATTTTCATCAATGTTAAGCCTAACAAATTTTTTAAAAATAATAATCGTCACTATTGTATCGTTAAAAATTATTTTATTGCTCACAAAACAAACAAACATTCATAAAAGTCTCGTTTAAATACTGGCCTCCCTTCAATGGTCAAGTCTGTTGCCAGCTAAAACACGCAAAAATTTAACAAAAATAATATTAAAGTAGCCAAGACATAGCCAAATATTGTAGTGCCACATCACTAGCGGACATTTGAAATTTGCCAACTACAACGGTCAGTTAATCGTTGTAACAATTAATTGGGGGTCAGATAATCAATGCTCTACTGTAATTTAAAATCATGGAGATCTTACAAAATTTTTCAGCTTAAATTTAGTTGAATATTTATCTGCAGATAATAAAATAATCTGTTTGGATTGCAAAAGAGGTTTTTCTACCACTTGAGTGAAAGCATCAACATTTTCTTGTTCTCTTCTCTTACACACAGCATCTATTAATTTCTAAAAGCAATACATTAATTTAAAAAATAAATTATTAAAAATTATAATTATATAAAATTTCAATAATTTTCTTACCAATAAATCTTTTAGTCCTGAATGATATGAATCGTAAACAATAAAATCGTCTAGGAAATCTTTATATTCTCTTTCTATTCTATATATTTCATTTCTTAATCTATTATTACAAATAACATTCCATAAAAAATTTATAACTTTATTAAAAAATTAATTTATTTAGAAATCACTTACCTTGTTTCTAAATCTGATGCATTAATAGGCAATTGAATGTGATTTGGTGAAGTTGATTTTTCAAATCTTTTCAGCAATTCTTGGGACTGAAATAAGTTAATTAAAAATAAATATAGTCTTTAAATCACAGATTCAAATTCTGTTTGTAAACTATTAATGAATATTCATTTAATTCAAAATTAAATTAATAAAAATTAATTTCTAATATGTTAAATATTAGAAATTAAGTTTTAACTTGAAAAAAACATTATTTTTTAATAAGCTAATTAATTTTGCATTTTGTAATGTAGAATTAGTAAAATAAAATATATACTTTTCTATCAATGTAATCTTTAACTAATTCTTCATTCCTTTCATTAAGTTGTTTTGCAAAAATTGATATTTTACCCTAAAAAAATTAATTTTATCATAATTAGTTAAAATAAATTTAATAAATTACACATATTTAAGAGTTATTAACAAAAGTTTGAGTACATGTAAAAAGTAACATGGTAATACCTTCAGTAGGTCTAAGAATGTTGTATATAAACTTTCTTCTTTTAATTTGATACAATGTCTTTCAAATAACTGTAAATATATAATTAAAATTTGTTATAGAATTGTAAAAAATTTAAAATTCATATTTAAAATTCATATACAGTATATATATATTTATTTATTTATTTATTGTGAGGCTCTGGACAAATCCAAACCCTCACTGAAATTTGCATTAAAATAATTTTTTTGTATGAAAACATGACACATTTGTTTATTGTTTAAAGTTTATAAGTCCTAAGATTGAACATCTCCAAGTTATGGGATTAAACTAAACATTGATTTTGACTTCTCCTATGATCTAAGCTGATATCTCATTACATTTAGTAATGAGTGATCAACCTCTTAGAAAGTGAGAACGAGGAAAACGACCAATCAAAATGGGCGATCAAGAATAGAAATGAATAAAAACCCAGGAATTCAAGGATATGGCAGCTTCTTCTCCCAAAAGTTCCAAGTGTCAGACCAATTGTTGTGTGTGTCTCTCTCTCTCTCATGTCCACCTTCATCAGTATCTCCTGTCTTCAGATTCACATCTTCCCATCACCAGAAGTCAACCGCATTGTCCTGGGGACACTGAGATGCTGAAGGAACTGTCATTCATGAGCCAGGTATAGTCCATCACTTGGAACTATCTTGGAAAAGAGAGGAAGACCCAGAGGCCACTACCGACTTAGATCACTGAAATCTTGTAAGCTCATTTTGTGTCAAATAAATGGCTTTTTGTAACTGTTGTCTATCCCAGTGACCATCACACCAACATACCCTCTTAGTAACCCCTCAATCCACTCGACATTTCCCTACCATTTCCCTGTCAGCAACCTTATAATATGTTAGGCATGTATTATGTTATTGTGTAAAAGAATGAAAATTTGATATCATAATAAATAGCAAATATAATAACCCATGTTTAAATAATTATATAAATTAGATTAAATTATAAATTTAAATAAAATTATAAAATATATTTTTAATAGCAAACTGTTTTTAATAGTTTGTTATTAAAAAAACTGTTTCATTCAAATACATGTTTTCATAAGTTAATAGATTATTTGTGCGAAATAAATTTTACATGTTAATTAAACAAAAAATAAAAATTACTGTAAATAGACCTATAATAATAAGCTATTGTTATCAGAGGATGCTGAGTTACCAGACATTCTGGATTATCCAGTACCAGATTAATGAACTTCTATTGTATCTAGATTTTAATTTTCTGTCAATATTGTCACTATATAACAAATAATAATATAAAATTGTCAGTAAATAATGTAATTTAACAGAGAAAAAACTTGAAATCCAATTTAAATTTAGTTTTAAGATTAACTAATCTGACAATATATTAGTTTTATGCAAACATGATTATTCTTAGAATACTTTAACAAAATGTTTATTGGGAAAAAGTAAATTATCATCATGTTTTGTAATATCAGTTTTCTTACAGTAATAATACAAGGTCTGTTCAAAAAGTATCGGACCTTTTTTTTTCCGCGTAAACCAATGATGCGAGAGAGGCCTCCTTCGGTGGAGTTGTGGAGGGGACAGTCATGCACAGCCCTGAATTTTTTTCCGCCTGCAGGAAGCGTCAGTCGTTGGCAATCGGCGTATGAGTGAGGTCATGTAGTGCGCTCTCGTCGGATTTCACTAAGCTGGAAAATGACTGAACAACGTGAGCAGCGATATTACATCAAATTTTGCCAAAAATCTTGGCGATACCCGAGTGTAAACCATTCGCTAGATTCAGCAGGCTTTCGGGGACGATCCTCAAGGCCAAAAAAAGCGCGGCAGGTCCACAGCAATATCAAAGGTCATGTTGACAGTTTTTTCGACTCTCGTGGGGTGGTGTGTCGTGAGTACGCACCACAAGGCCAAACCATCGCAAAGGAGTACTACCAGGAGGTCCTTCGTCATCTTTCCGATACAGTGCGATGCAAACGACCGGATCTGTGGTCGATCAAAACTTGGCAGCTCCATCGTGATAACGCATCCTCCCATTCTGCGCATCTGATTCGGGCTTTCGTCGCCAAACACAATACTCCTGTGGTTCATCACACTCCGTACTCTCTCCATATGGCTCCGTGTGACCTTTGGCTATTTCTCAAGCTGAAAATGCCGCTATTTAGTTGAGAGAAGACATCATGCGAAATGCGACGGACCGGCTGATAACCATTCCAAAAGATGCGTTCCAGCAGTGTTTCCAGCAATGGCAGGAACGCTGGGAGAAGTGTATACATTACCAAGGAGACTACTTTGAAGGGGATTAGGGTTTTGTACCTCAAAGTCAATAAATTTATTTTTGCCGACCAAAGATCCGATACTTTTTGAACAGACCTTGTATATGATTAATTTATTTTCTCTAAAATATAAATTTACAAATTACATCAATTAGCAATTTTATTGTAAAATACATTTTAGTTTTCAGTGTTTGTTGTATTAATTTTCACATTACTGATATTATAATAATAAAAGGTAGACAAAAAGAGAGAAACAAAAATATAAAAGAGTATATTGTATATAGCACATACACAATCTTCTTTTAAGATAATTTAATTTTAATTCAACTTAAAATTGAACTTATGTATTTTAAAGCAACAGCAAGGAAAAATATTTGACTAAAGAAAACTTTATGCTGTTTCTTTAATTACAGTTATAAATTTATACCTTTAATTAGAGAAAACTGTTGTGTAATTTATATAAATTCTAGAGATGATAAAATGGAAAGCTTACTTGCAAGTAAACTTGGAATTGATGGCAAGATTAGTTCTTGAGTTTTGCAGTATATAAATGTTCAAGATTTTAGTGTTTCTCTTGATGATTAACAGGGTGATAACAGAGCTGACTAACAGCATTACCAGGTCTACTCCTTGCAAGTAAACTTTTTATTTGCTATTTATATGCTTTCTCGTTAATGAATGTATTGATGTCATATGCAAAATATGCAAACAGATAAATATTCATTAAGCTTTTCCATCAAGCTGGCACAAAATTAAAATAATTCATGTCTATTTTTTGAAAATGTATACCTGTATGATAAATAATTATATACCAATACAAGTTAATAACTTTAAATTAATATAAATTTGTCTATGTTATAACATTCTAAAAGTCATTGACAAAGAACTTTTGATTTATGCAAATTTCAATTAACATAAAAATCTCACAAGCTCATCTATAATGTAAACAAATGTCATCTACATTATTAAAGAAATGTGTAAAAAATAAAAATATTAAATCAAAGTTTTTGTAATATTATAAGTTGATATTTGAATATACAATGATCTTTGAATTCTTATAAGAAATATATGTTTTTGTAAAAATCAAATTTTATACTTCAGACCATATTATTTGTGTATGTGTATACAATATAATTTAAAATTCAAGTGTTTTAGAAAGAAAACATTATAATTTAAACAAAACAATATATTGTTATGTGCAAGATTTATGATTATACAAGACTAAATATATTCAATTTTTAAATATAAATAACAATCATTATAATTTTTGAAAATTAATAATTTATATAGTTAAAAAGAGGAAATAAAAGAACAATAATTTTACTCACATCAATTGCTTTAATACTGTTTTCATCAACTATTTTTTTCAGTTGAATAGGTTTTCTAGGTGTATTATCATCATTATTTGTAAGTTCCTTAAATTTTTCTAAAGATTAAAGCAAATAAATTAAATTGATAAATATTAAATGAGTGTTAACAACTTACCTAATGCAATATTTGCTTCATTTTGGAAAGTTGTTTCAATTAACTGAGTATTTTTTAACTTTAGACCATCAGCCATATTTAATATCATATTCTACAAGGTATAATTACAAATAATAAAAATAAAAAATATTAGAAATTTAAATATAATAATCATATATTAAAAAATATATAATTTTTTCTTACATTTAATGATGTAATATATTTATCTCTAATTTCTGGTTCTATCAAATCTTGTAATTCTAATATGAATTTTGTTTTTACTTTCACTATAACAGAATTAACATGTTCTTGAAGCTCTGTCAAAGGACAAGGCATCTGAACATTTCCTATAATTTCTTCTGCATATAGCTGAAAATAAACTTTGTGATTTTTTTTTCTATAAAAGAAACCAAAAGTTACAATATATTTTACCTCCATTTGATTTTGAAGCTCTGCACATCTTAGTTTAATTTTCTTTTCATTTAATTCATATGTTTTTTCAAAATAATGTGAAACATCTTCGGTAAGTTTAAGCTTTGCATCTCCTAGAGCATCTTCAAGACTAACATAATAAACAGTTATTTATTATCTATATTTCATATTTTTATAAAAAAAAAAATCATTTCATGTTAGTTTTTGAAATTACCCTTTAAGCAGTTGAATTATTAATTTTGTAGCCTTTGCAAATGACTGATTATGACATTCCTGTCAAAAAATAAATAAATATTAATACGGTAAAACTTCTTACATTAGGCATTAATGGTTTCATAATGTGGCTAATTTAGATGTCCAGACAGAGGAGGGAAAATTGTTTTCTCTTCCTATCTATCTGGAACACCTCTAAATTTAATAAAAATGTAAAATGGTAAAATAAACAATATATAAATTATAATATAAACCAAACTTCTTTATTACATATTAATGATAAATATACTTAATATGATCATCTAAAACACTGTTTTACTTTACCACATAAAAATCTAAATAAAAATTAGTGCTACATTTTTTCATTTTTATTTAAAAATTTATTGTAATATTCAATACATTATGTTTTTGTTTTTTTCTTTATAATTTGCCTAATCTCTAAGTTATTAGGAGTAAAAGCAGAATATCAAATATTACCTCATGTATTTCTGACTCCATATTATTATCTGTATTAAATTCTAATTTCAGATAGCTTACTATTTAAATTTGCCACAAAGGAATCTTTTCGTCCTGTTTTAAAACAAATTCAGTATTTAAAACTAGGTTTTAAATATTGTTCAATCTGTAAAAACTAGAATAAAATTTGAAATTCAGTTTGAATAGTGACTTATATTCATTAGGAAGCTGAAGTTTTCCTAAAACAAGATGAAAACGTTCTTTCATGGTAAATTTAAACAGTCGACTACATGAAATAAGCATTTAATACAGATAAAAGCAGACTATTCTAATTCAAAAGACATTATACAGCTCTTTGATGGATAAATGGTTTTTGTATGGAAGTAGTGTTTCTTCCTCTGAAAATTCTTTAGTTGTAGCATTACTTGAATTCATTATTTTGTCTAGTACATTAAGTGTTCAACAAACATTATTGTGAACCTCTAAAGCAGTGCTTCTCAAACTTTTTTGGATCACTGCTCCCTTTGGTTGTGACTGTTGGTGGTAATGCCCTGTTCTGTGTACACAGAACAAAGATAGGAGGCAACAAAGCCTATTGCCCATATCATGTCTAATGCCCTCTTGGATAATTCAAAATGCCCTGCAGGAGGCAATATTACCCACTTTGACAATACTTTAGAGCAGTGCTTCTCAAAGATTGAACATTAGTAAGTCAATTGTGATACTTCAAAGATCATTTCTTTTTTCAATTTTTTATTTTTCTCTGCTTTTCTCTTCATCAATTATCTGCTTTAAATCCTGCATACATAAAACCTTTTGTGATGATTTCAGTTAAAACATCTGCCCAGACACCACAAGTTCACTGAATGACATCTAACATTGCAATATTTCTTAGAAATTCAATTATTCTTGCACTTATATGCAGTATTGATTAATAACTATATTATTTACTTACTGTTTGGCAATTTAACTGACTGAATAATGCCCTTATATAGTGTAACTTTAGTTGGACTTGGTAGCACATCAATTAAAAGTGAATAGTCACATTTGAGCAATTTGCATTAACATACTTGCATTTTTGGTAATGAACGTTTAAATGAAGTAATTCAATCAAAAAATATTACTCTTGTTCACTCATTCGAAAATATTAGAAATGATTCAAATACTCTTATTATACTAACAAATTATGTGAAGTTTGTTCGTTAGTTGTAAAAATTCTAGGACATGAAGTATTTCCAATAACTAATGGCTTTGATTTGCTTCATTCCATGCTGAAACAAAAACAGTAATTTATTCCTAAAATTCATTTTCCCCTGTACATATCACTGCTTTTTCAATTAAGGATTGAAAAATGACAGTAAAATACTCTACTTTCATCTGCATTAGGAATGTTGTCTGCTCAACAACAAATATGTTGAATTTTTTCCAAATGCTTAAAGATTAAATTTCTAACTTTCAGCAGTTGAAAATCAAATAGAAGCTGATTCACCAGAAAAGATATTAAAGCTTATATTGTCTTATTAACAGAAACAATCCATTAACACTTTCTGTATAATGTAAAGATGGCATACATGTGCCTGACCAACTTATGTCAAAAAGGAGTGTCCAAGAATATAATAAGCTTGTTATATTATAGACGTTTTCCAGTTTCAATTCAAAGAATTCAATTTAGAGTACACTTAAGAAGGTTTTCCATTATTTATACACAAAATTTAAAATTGGTAAAGATATACCTGTAAATCTTTTGCTTTCACAGGTTTATTGTTATGTTTATCACTGAATGCTGTCATTTCAGCAACATAAAATTTAAAACAATCTTCAGTGGCTGTTTGTTTAATTCTTTCAATGAAAGCATTCCATCTGCTTGGTATCTACATTGAATAAAGAAATGTTTTACCTAAATTTTATATATATATATTTAGAAATTATATTTAATGTATCATGCATTTATATTGAATGTATTTTATTGATATTTATTATTGTTAAATATTTAATAATTATTTTACCTCAGCTAATGAACCTTCATTAGCAGCATTGACCAAAATTTCAAAAAGAGTAGCTAATTCTGCTCCAGTTATAGGTTTATCTAAAACAACAGTATTTAAAAATTTTTTTTAAATTGTATTTTCTTCTAATCAATTCACCTTTCAAATTTACTAACGATTTTTTTCTTTTGGAACTAATGACTGTTTTAACTTGTATATTAAATCATCTCTTTCTTCTTTATACTCAAAGGTTAGATCATCATCTGTAGCCTATTCAAAATAATATGTTATTTATCAATTTTTAATAGTCAAAATAAAAGAAAATTTATAAAAAGTCTCACCAGAGATAAATCATTTAAAATCCGTTTTCTTGTGGCAGGCAAAAATAAAGTATGACAATCTACTGATTTAAAGATATCTATCGGAAGAAATTTCAACAGATGTTTTGATAGTTTTGTATTGGTACAATGTAGGATTTTAAAAATAATATTTCACTATAAATAACCTTACCCATTAATCTAATTTCATAATCTTCATTTTCTCTTGTGTGTGTTTCCATGAGACGATGAAGCCATTCTTTTGATGTTTCTTTATCAACTGTTGTTTGAACAAAGTCTTGCACAATCTAATATTTATTTTATCAATTAAAAATATGAATATTTTTTAAACTGTTGTTATTTAATGAACATAATAATTTAAATTTATGTAATTAAAAATTGTTTTATAGAAGTCATCATCGTATGCTAAATTCAGTTAAAATAAAATATATTTTATTTTAAAAACTATATAATAAACAAATTCAATTTTTAAATATTGAAAAAAGTTCATTTAATACATTATTTGTATTCTTAAGTTTTTGAAATTTTAAATTAGTAATATATATGTTACAGTCAAAACCCGTTTTTAGTTAGAACGCGTTTTAACTAGTTGAAACTAGTTTATACTGAATGTCTTTGTTAAAACCCGTTTTGTCTAGTTAAAACTAGTTTATACTGAATGTCTTTGTTAAAACCCGTTTTGTCTAGTTGAAACTAGTTTATACTGAATGTCTTTGTTAAAACCCGTTTTGTCTAGTTGAAACTAGTTTATACTGAATGTCTTTGTTAAAACCCGTTTTGTCTAGTTGAAACTAGTTTATACTGAATGTCTTTGTTAAAACCCGTTTTGTCTAGTTGAAACTAGTTTATACTGAATGTCTTTGTTAAAACCCGTTTTGTCTAGTTGAAACTAGTTTATACTGAATGTCTTTGTTAAAACCCGTTTTGTCTAGTTGAAACTAGTTTATACTGAATGTCTTTGTTAAAACCCGTTTTGTCTAGTTGAAACTAGTTTATACTGAATGTCTTTGTTAAAACCCGTTTTGTCTAGTTGAAACTAGTTTATACTGAATGTCTTTGTTAAAACCCGTTTTGTCTAGTTGAAACTAGTTTATACTGAATGTCTTTGTTAAAACCCGTTTTGTCTAGTTGAAACTAGTTTATACTGAATGTCTTTGTTAAAACCCGTTTTGTCTAGTTGAAACTAGTTTATACTGAATGTCTTTGTTAAAACCCGTTTTGTCTAGTTGAAACTAGTTTATACTGAATGTCTTTGTTAAAACCCGTTTTGTCTAGTTGAAACTAGTTTATACTGAATGTCTTTGTTAAAACCCGTTTTGTCTAGTTAAAACTAGAATTTACTGCTAGTCAAAAATGAATTTGAGTTAAAACTAGTTTTAACTAGACAAAACGGGTTTTAACAAAGACATTCAGTATAAACTAGTTTCAACTAGTTAAAACGCGTTCTAACTAAAAACGGGTTTTGACTGTAACATATATAAGTAAAAAATATAAAAATTAAAAGAAAATACAATTTCTCCTTTATAAATAACAGAAATTATTCAACTAAATCAAATCAACATTTATAATAATACATCACTAATTCAATTTTAGTCTTTTTAGTGTCAATGTATTCTAAGTTCAATAAACATGATGTAATTTCAGTTTGAGGTGTTATTTTAAGCATTGTTATTATGTGTTTCTCCTAAAATATGCCAATTAAAATAAAATTAATGTTTAGCCATTAATTTGTTAAGTTTCATGAAAACAAAATAAAAATAAAAAAGGAAAGAAAGAAAAGAAAAATAATATAATTACTTAAATATTTTGCCAGTTTAAATTGCATAGAATTACAAAGATACAATATAGGAAAGTCACTCTTTCTATATTAAAATAAATAATTTTTTCAAAATAAAAGAAAAAAGATACAAAATATATAAAATGCCAAAATTTGTTATTCGCAATTACAGTCAAGGTGTCCAATCATTTTCAACCTGTTGATATTTTTTAGGGGGAAAAGTTGTTTGTTTAAATAGAAGTTTCTGCTATAAATTGCATTGACACATCAATAAACTTTATTCATGTGTCAATGCATTTTATAACAGAAACTTCTTAATTCTTTAATTTATTCAAAACTAATGATACAAAGGCAATAGTTTTCATGTTTTTGATTATTTCATAATAATTGGCTAAAAGCTAAGACAGAACATTTATTTTATAATTTCTTCTCTAGATTTTTTCATAAATTAATTTCAAAAACTGAATTTTCTGATATGTTTTCATGCAAATAAGTAGTTATCATTTACTTTTAGTGAAAGGATAGAAAAGTTTTAAATTTCTTTGGATTTAGTATTATATTTGAATTTTCCAAGTGAAATATTCATTTATGTAAATAAAAAAAATATGAAAAGTCATTGTTTTTTTCATATAAGTTTATAAGTTCAGTAGTCATAACTATGGTATTTATGATACATTCAAGTGTATAATGTTTGCATATACAGAAGTGTTTGTTTCATAATTTGAAAACATGTTATAAAAAATAGATACTTTAGTATATTTATATAAAGTAAAATACTGACTATTTTGCACATTTTTACTTACCCAGAGGAGAGGTGGAAAGCTCAATAAATCATGAATAAATTCTCCAGTCCATTTAGATCTTGACATTTGTGATCGGAGAGCAAACAGCTGAAAGATTTAATTAACTAGATTTTCATTTAAAATTATTATTGAAAGCAATTAATGAAATTTTAATTATTGAAGTATATTCTAATAATTAAAAGATAGTATTGCTTCATATTTTAAATTATGAATTTAAAATTTATTTATTTCATAGTATTTGCCTTGCAACAGAATAGAATATTTCATAATAATCAATAAATTATGGACTGCAGAATGATTGTCGAAATATAATAATAATTTGAAAAATGAATTATCCTATATTAGAAACTTTGGTACTTTTATTTTTCTTTATATATTTTATAATAATTTTATATTTTTTAATATAATTATTTAAAATAACTGTGGATGTGGCATCCTTGACAATTCCTGCAATCTGGGTATTTGAATAATCTTCCTCATGATAACTTCTATAGTTATTTTCTTTTTTAGAGTGCATTCATTGCATGTATAATGGAAAATAATACAAACTAATTTCAAACTGGCTGAATTCATTTTTTTTTATAAAGTGGAGGCAATACAGAGTAAAAAAGCTTTGTACTGTGAGAATAATTTTACTACATTGGAAACTATGTTTAAAATCTGAAACACTTTAGAATTCATAATAAGTGAGATAAGTGTATTGAAGAATCTCTGAAACTTTTAACAAATTGATCTAAGTTTAAATGTGTATGAATCATTAAAGCAGAGAATTTCAGAGTACAGAAACAAAACATTAGAGTCCTGTTAAAATAATTAAAAACTTGACTGTCCCGTAAAATAAATAATAGAGAGGTTGTGGACAACGTTTTCTATGTGAAAACATGTACATCAGACATTCAGCACCACCTTCCTATAAGCCTAGAAGTTTGACAATGGCATTTGGAATGTCCCGCATGATTCCACTGACATTCCAAATGCCATTGTAAAACTTCTAGGCTTACAGGAAAGTGGTGCTGAACGTCTGACGTACATGTTTTCACATTGAAAACGTCGGCCGCAACCTCTCTAATAATCAAAATTCAGAACTTTCTTTTCTTCAAAATTATGATCTCACCATTGGTAACAGTATAATGCAGAGATAAATTCAAAAATAATTTAAGTTAGATAAAAAATTTAATGAAGAAATCATAACTAAAATCATCATCATCATCATCAAAAAAGTTTAATTCAAGAAATGCATGAGAATATGTTATCAAAAACTGAGAAGTGCCTTTAAATGATTCTTATAATTAGAGTTACAATTCAAACTTTTTTGAATTGACATCAGATCATCAAATTTAGAAAGTTTTGCTGTACTATCTACTATTCAATAAACATTAATGTCAAATGATACACTTTCAGTGAAAATAATGTTAGCATTAAAATTTGAAGCTTTAATGTCATTTGAAATTTTGGATGTTTTGTTATTTTTTAAAGTACTAATTTTTAAAACAAAATTAGATATATTTATACTAAACTATATTATTAACTATTTGGTTGCTATTTGTTATTGAACTATTTCTAATATTGCTAATTGCTACGCACAAATCATTCTGTTGAAATAATATTTTTTGTATTATAAATAATTGCAATATATGATTTTTATAATTTTTAATTACTTTAAAACTGTATAAATAACTAATATCATTTGAAAATCAAAATAATGAAGGCAGTTCTTTGTAATTATTTCTATTTCATGTATGTAACTATCATAATATAAGTAATAACAGACATTTTTTATTGTTTTTATAAATTTCTGTTATATTTTTTTGTAGGTACTTATAAATAAGTATTGCAATTTTTATATCCAGTAATACTAAATAAAAAAATATGAACAAATTTATATTTATTCTAAAAAATTATCTATATTGTTATATATTTTATAGATACAGTAGTACTTCAGGATACAAAATTAATCCATTCCTAAACTGAGATCATATCATGAAAATGTCGTAAGGTGAATCATTTTTCCCCATATGATTATATGTAAAACCAAATAATCCATTCCAACATGAAAAACACACTCAAATTAAAGCAAAGTAGTACATTGAAAAAAAAAAAAAAACTTTAGTAAGGAAAACACTGAGAAATGCATTTTGAAGTTGTAAATGTATAAATAACCATAATAGAATAATAATTGATAAAAAAATGTAGTTTTATTTGCACTTTACCTTTGAAGATAGACGATGGTGGAGGTGTAAACTGGTAGCGGAGGAGAGGGAGAAGGGAAATGATACTAAAACTTAACTTACATAACATAATGTAACAATAACTTAAAAATAACTTAGAAAATATAAAAAAATTAGTGTTGTTTTATATATATTTTTAAAAATTTTTATTCACTGCATTTTGCTTTCTTTCCTTCATTTCTACCAGCACTTTCACTGGATAGAGGTCGCTTGGTAAAATATCTATCCAAAGAGGTTTGGCTTTACCTACTTTTTAAAATGTTTCTAAAATGACTTAGGCAAATGTCATTACTCCGAGCAGCAATAC